GAGAGAGAGAGAGAGAGAGAGAGAGAGAGAGAGAGAGAGACAAAGAGAGTGAAAGAGAGGGAGAGCTGTGGTTTATATTCGCTAGAATCGTATCGGGAAATTTAATTGGACTGTATTCAACGCGCAAATTATACGTTTGTCTTTATCGACGGTTCGTACGTTACGTGTTTGAAATTCGCGAAACGTGCTTGCGTACCATACGACCAAACGGTGTATCGACGTATCGTTGATTGGGAACTAACGTATTGTCTCGTTTGCGGTACCTTTACCTCTCGGTATATTGCGTGAAATGCGATGTTTCTTGGACAATTGATGAATATTTTGTAGTTTTCGTAAGGTAAGTTTCGAAAGCTGAGAATATACAGTCTCTTAATTACGGATGATTTTTTGTTTCTGTTGTGCAATAAGTTATTGCTTGCACATGTGTTGAGCAAAGAGCAAATTTCTGTCCATCTCGGAATTCTTACTTGATTGCGTAAAACTTTTCAGATATTACACGTGACGAGAAAGTCAAATTTTTTTTAGCACAGTCAACTGCCATCTATATAAAGGCAGTTATCTATTTTCATGCCTACCTTGTACATCCAAACATACAAAAACACTTAGTACATTTGAATGTATTTATAATGACAAACATACATATCTATAGACATATAGCTACTGTAGGTCAATTTTGTTTGGTCTTATTCTGCTTCTGGCTTTCTGTTCAAACGTTAATTTCAAAACTTTGTACTTAATAGATATTTCTTTCTTCACATGTACTTGCGAGAATTTAGCAGTATTTTCTAAAGTAATAATATTTTAATATAATATTTTCTAATTAATTATGGTTAAATCATATAAATTTTATTCTTAAAATTCATATATAATGTTTTAAATATCACAAAAAATATATAGAATAATATATTAAATATAGAGAATTTCTATATAAAAGATATCGTAGATAGTGATATTTTCTTTCTCTCTTTTCAGAAAATATAAATATACTAATTGATATATAATTCAAATAAACATCATTTCCAAAATGATGACTGAAACACATATAAACTCTAATCACATGTTAAATTCTGGTTTGTCTACCAAATCAGAAATAGATAAAATGGATGATGTGGGTTGGAAAGCCAAATTAAAGATTCCACCAAAGGATAAAAGAATTAAAACAAGTGTGAGTTTTATTAGTATTAAAAATAGTTGATTGATAAATTTAATTGTATTATTGAATTCTCATTTTTTATAAGATGGAAATTTTATTTAAATATTGGAAAAATTTGCGACATAAAAAAAATTTTACTGTTACTATTTTTTTTTGTATTGAATATCTTATAGGATGTTACTGACACACGTGGTAACGAGTTTGAAGAATTTTGCCTAAAACGTGAATTATTGATGGGAATTTTTGAGAAGGGATGGGAGAAACCATCGCCGATTCAAGAAGCTAGTATACCCATTGCACTTTCTGGTAAGGACATCTTGGCACGAGCAAAAAATGGAACTGGCAAAACTGGTGCATACTCTATTCCAGTGCTAGAACAGGTATATATGTTACAAAAGCATTAACTTGGAGAAAAATATTTTAAACACTGTGGTCATTGAAATATTTTAAACACTGTGGTCATTGTATTATTTGTTAGGTTGACCCTAGGAAAGATGTAATTCAAGCATTGGTGATTGTACCTACGAGAGAATTAGCATTACAAACATCACAGATTTGTATTGAACTTGCAAAGCATATGGATATAAAGGTTATGGTCACTACTGGAGGAACCAACTTGCGCGATGATATCATGAGGATTTATCAAAAAGGTGAAATTCAGAAAAATATAAACTTTATTGAAAAATATAACTTTATTATATAAATTGCATCAAACACACACATACACACACACACATATAGGTTTGTTGATATGCAATTAATATATATTTTATATTTGCAGTACAAGTGATAATTGCAACGCCAGGAAGGATCCTTGACCTAATGGATAAAAATGTGGCCAACATGGAACATTGTAAAATTCTAGTTTTGGACGAAGCAGACAAACTGCTGTCGCAAGACTTTAAAGGAATGTTGGATCATGTCATATCGAGGTGTGTTTATAGAGAATATTACTTTCTAATTTATGCACTAGTTTTATACTTTTTTTTTTTTTTTTTTTTTTTTT